GTTTATTATCTTAGCTTTACATGAATATCTCACTAAAAAAATGGATGAAACAAAGAGCAAAATATTTGCCCAAAATTTTTTACATGGAAATCCAAAAATGAAAAAATCACAGAGTCTGGCCTAGTCAGAGTGGTTGCAGATAGAACTTTTTTCCATCACATGAGTAGAATAATACCATATTACGGTAGTGGGGTTTATCAAAATGACATTTACTAGAGGAGCGATAAAAAAAGTTGGAGAAGAAACAAGGATCTAATTGTGATAGTAGAGGATAGACTGTAAGGTTCAAATGATGAATAATAAAGGGTAATCTCATATGCGGTAATCCAACAATAGTTGTTACAACTATACAGAGACAATAATAATTGTTGTAACTATTAAATGATAATCATTGCTAAGCGAATAGTGATGGGGACTAGACTATGGTGATCCAATGATAATAGTGGTTGAGAGATAGTTGCTAGTAATGGTAATAGTGATGGTGACTAGACTATGGTGGTATGATAATGATAGCAGTGGTCTGACGAAGATAGCTGATATGTATCAAATATGCAAGATATGTCAATGTTATATTTATATTATTGACATCATTTTTATATTTTTCATGAAATTTATGATTATATATGCAATGTATGGGTGATTAAGCAACTTTAGGGAGCAAATAAGATGTAAAGGACTCAAAACAGACTGAATCAGCTTCCAAATGCCACTCTTGGGTGGACACGCACCAATCTTCGGCATCCATGCACCTGAAAAAAGAGGACCAGACGCTTAAGGCCTATCCTAGGCACCCATGCGTCGTAACCAAAGACCCAAGCACTACTTTTGGGTGCTCAAGCACCTAGATTCAAAGAAATATGTAGTATTGGGCTAGTTTTAGGTGCTAAAGTGCTCTCAATTCATATCATGTTGAGCCGAAAATAATAAACTAGAATATAGCAAAGAAGTTCTAACTCTCATCATCACTCTTATCAATGCTCTATATTGTGTCCAAATTCTATAAGAGGGAGGTGAAATCTTAGAGAGTTGTAAGGGTTCTCTTGTAATTTGCATGTATATGTTTCTACTCTTGTGAAAAAAGAAAGGAAGGTCAGTGGACGAATAAAGGGTATACTTTATCAGTTCTAAAATTTCTAAACTCTTATATTTGCTTTCCTTTAATCCATTAAATATTTATTTTCTTGTTTCAAGGCATGATTAGCAAGTAGATTTCATTTTCTTGTTTGAATTGGTAACTAAGAATCTTGTGTTTAACTTTAATGCATGATTAAACTCAAATTACTTAATGGTAATGTTTTAACCTTCTACTCTTCATTGTCTCTCAATCTGGCTAGTCAAAGTGTTAATATATGTTGTGATATAGTTGTGTGGGAGTACGTTAGTGGAACAAATAGGTTAACCCACACTAACTTGAGAGAATATGGATATTGCATCTAGGTTAGTGTAATCATGAAAGGAAATATGGAATCCTAAGAAAATCACTTGCTTTAGGGAACTAAGTTTGTTTGATATCTAAGACTTTTTAGAGGTTTGGGATTGGATAAATAGGAGATCAGTTCCTACTTGTCCCTCATAAATTTATCATGTGGTTAAACCTAGATTTCTAAAATCCAATTTAGAGTAGAATCATTTAATTAATAAAAAACATCAAAATTCTAACTTACTTTGCATTGGTTTTTTTTTATATAAAAATTAGAAATAACAACTTTAAAATACCCAAAAATTTGAACAGTTTGAGCTAGACATAAAACCTGTAGATTCAATTTTTTCTTCTTTTGAAAAGTTAATTTGTTCTTTGTGGGATCAATATACAAACTCATAATTTATATATTACTAGATCGACTCGTATACTTGTGTGATTACCAGTGCTTCACACTAATTCAGGCATTAATAGTAGACAAGAGATAGTAGTTTGAGTGTTGGTAACTGTGGTGATGACTTGACAATAATAATTAGATGATAGTGGTAATCTGAAGACACTGGTCTAATAATGATTGTTGTTTGTCATTTCCAGTGATTAGGGGATGTAGTCCCGACAATTACAACAACAAAGATGATTAAATGATTATAGAGAGAATGATTCATTGATGGCAGAGAATGGGAAACGACTATCCCATGGCAATTATGAAGCAATTTTGGTCTCGTTGTGGTGTCACCAATCGAATAATGGTGATACGGTGGTGGTGAAGCTAAAGAATACTCTAAGGCTTGAAGCTCTCTTGAGTCTTCTCCTCCTAGCTCCTTTCTAGCAAAAATAATATTGAAATTCAATGATAATAGTGACTAGGAGATGACAATCTACAATTGTGTGATGATGGTACAAGATAGGCGGCAAAGATTTGACAATTGAAATAGTTGAGATTTAGTGGCTTGACACTTGTGGTGGTGGTGATAACGATTAAGCAATAGTATTCTAACAACATTGGCAATGAAGCAATGAAAATACTAAAATGATAGTGTTCTAACAATCATAGTGACTGGGGAATGATAGTCTGGAAGTGGCGGAGACAATAATGTTTGAATGATGGTGGTTTAATAGTGGCAAAAATAATGGTCCAATAATAACAGTGACTTGGAGATGATCGTATGAGAATAACAACTAAGCAATAAAGGTCCAAAAAATGATAGCCATGGAGCTTGAAAATTCTCAAGAGCAAGAAACTCTCTGAGTCTTCTCCTCTTGGTCTCCCCATGAATGAATGAGGTATATTACAAATTTTTGGAGTGTCATTCTTCAAAAATTTTGCATGAATTTGGATCACTCCATCAAATGGACTGGAGTGATCCTTCTCCTCTTGGTCTCCCCATGAATGAATGAGGTATACTACAAATTTTGGGAGTGTCATTCTTCAAAAATTTTGCATGAATCTGGATCACTCCATCAAATGGACTGGAGTGATCCTCTTAATCGTATGATATTTTTGTTGCGTATTTGAGTGCTTTAATGATGTCATAATTAGGCAATGTAGAGCTCGTTGGATTTGTCTCATTAAGACCCAAAATTTGATTATAAGCTTACCACATTTATCAACATTGGGTCCTCCAATGTAGGCTCCAAATCCTATTATTATATTTTTAGTGCATGATCTGGACTCACTAGAACTCAGGTCGGATCACTTCTGATGTCATGTGGTTTGTCTCGCCATGAGATTTTGTTTGATTATAAATTCATTAAAATTTGATTGTAGATAATTCTTGATTTCATTTTTTTAAGTTTTCAATCCCAATGTGCATCACAATACGTGCTTGATCATGAGATTTTTTGGGGGTGTATAAATAAATTGCAATTAGACATACAATTTCATATTGGGAGTTTAATTTCAAAGTAATGTATATGCAATAGAATTAATATTAGAAATATGAACAAATTCATTTTTTTTCTTTTATTGTCAGTTTTCGATTAATCTCTCAACAAAGTTTAAAAAATGAAGGTTATTATGATGCTTCTTATCCTCTTATTGAAAAAAAAAAAACTTTCTCATCAACCAAACAACAAATTAAAAAAAAGTTTGTTTTTTTTTTCTTCTATATGTTTTAGATCTTCGTATCCACTCTAATAATGATAGTTTAATTTTCTTACCATTTCCATTTTAATGTCCTTTTCCGGGGAAAAAAAAAAAGAGTGTGAAACCAATTAGAGGCCCATCCCTAAAAAGAACCAAAATAACTGCTCAGCACTAACATTTGTGTGGGTACGCGTGGTAAGCATAAGGAGAGGCGCTCTATTGGAATCCAAATCAAGAAACAAAAAAATAAGAAGTAAAAAAAAAGAGATGAAGAAGAAGAAGAAGAAGAAAAGCATAGCAAGAATAGAAATGGATAACTGGGTGGTAGCCGTGTAGATTGCATACTCTTGCATTGAATAATATCATTTGAATCTGCACTACAACCAATTCAGTGCTGGTCCAATCAGCAATCCATGTGTAAAAATATATCGTTAACATGTTATCAATAAACATTTGGGGGCCCTTTGGAATCCTTTTTTTTTTATTCTTTATTTGTTATCAATAAACATTTGGGGGCCCTTTGGAATCCTTTTTTATTTATTCTTTATTTGTTATTTATTTATTTTTATCTTTGGCAAATGATCATGACTAATTTGGATTCCTCATTTTATCCTAATAGGGATCCTCATTTTGGTTGAAAGCAGTTAGAAAGCAAATATGATTTCCTTTTTAATTCTTTTAACATTTTAAAACAATCGACAAATTTGAAGATTTCATTTTCAAGCTTAAATTGAATGAAAATAAAATAATTATTTTCTAAAATATCATTTTGATCTATAAGCAACCAAAAGAAGTCTTAACATAGTGAAAATAAAGTTATCACTTCCTAAAGCATTTTCCCCATCAAGAACATGCAAATGATTCCTAAAGCTGCTTTCCCATGGTCATGTTTAGCCACTTATTTCCTGCTAGTATAAATTTACATTAAACCAAACACTTAATAGATTATTCCTAATGGAAGGAATAATGGAAGCTATTTATTATAAACTCATCATAATTCAACATAATGTAGCGGCCAAAAAGAAGACATTTTTAAAATCACCTACATATTCATATAAAGCATTAAAACCACAAGAATAGAAGCCATGATTATGCTTCCTCAATGCCATCTTTCCACATCATACAATTTGCAACCAACCCAAAAACAATTACATGTAAACCTTGCCAAAGATAAACAGGTACACGGAAATGTCCTTCCTCGCCTGAAGTGGGCGCACCACTATCCAACAAATCAATTTCCAACTTTGCAGACTACCCACTATAAAATAACATAAAAGGATGTATGACTGCCTACACTTCACAATTCGATCTCATTCCTATCAATTAAAGTCCCCCAATATCCAGAAAACCTCTCATTTCCCATGGCCATTACTGAAACTAAGCTCATCATTCCCAACACCAGAAATGAGGAAGCAAATATTGAAGATATCAACTATTCCCAAAGAGCACAATGGCTAAGAGCTGCGGTGCTTGGAGCCAATGATGGGCTTGTTTCCACTGCTTCTCTTATGATTGGCATAGGAGCAGTAAAAGAAGATGCCAGGGCTATGATATTATCTGGTTTTGCTGCCTTGGTGGCTGGAGCTTGCAGCATGGCCATTGGGGAGTTTGTCTCTGTGTACTCCCAGCTTGACATTGAGGTGGCCCAGCTGAAGAGAGAGCAAAAAATTAACCAAAAAGAGGGGAGTAAGGTCCAGGATGGAACAACTCAGGAAGGATTGCCCAACCCAGCACAAGCAGCAATTGCATCTGCGCTGGCATTTTCTATGGGAGCTGCGGTTCCTCTCCTAGCAGCAGGGTTTATAAGAAGATATAAGGTGAGACTTATGGTGATTGCCATAGCGGCAAGCATGGCCTTGGCAGTTTTTGGGTGGGTTGGGGCAGCGCTAGGGCGTGCTCCACTAGTGAAGTCAGTGTTGAGAGTATTATTGGGTGGTTGGGTGGCCATGGCAGTGACCTTTGGGATCATGAAACTGTTCAGGTCCAGTGGCCTTTAAAGTCTGGCTTTGCCTGAGCTTTGTACCACTGCTAACAACTCATATCGCTATGCTTTCTTTTCTATGTATGCCTAAGGTGTTCAATATAGATATTGTAATAAGGAATGATTGAAAGTCGAGTTCTTTCGAACTATTTTGCTTGCTATTAATCTGAAAGCAAAAATTAACCGTTATCAACAGATCTGTATTACTAAATGTTTTTATTTATTTATTTTTTTTTTGAAGGTCCCAAGTTTGAGCAATGTCAAGTTTCTCTTCTATCAGTATTTATCTCACATGCAATCTCATTGGAGTTTTTATTTTTGTTTTTTTTTTTTTTGCATAACTCTAAAGCTTATTGGCTTGGTCTGTTCCTTCTTAATAATCAGTCACCATTCAGAGAACTCTATATGACTTTTCATTACCATTTTGAAAGATTTACAAAGGTACCACTCAATACTTATGTATTTACATATATAAAACATAAAATTCAATTTTTACATGCAACTATGTTACCAATGCATGAAATGGCGTATTTTATTTATTAAAACTGAAATTGACGGTGCTTTTGATGTGCTATTTAAGATTTGGGTGTTTTGAGTGTGGCTAATCTGCAACCTGTGGGTTTCTACGTTGAGATTGAAAAAACTTATAATGTAGAGCAACACTTGGGAAACTCTGACATTCAGAAGACAACAAGGTAATACACAACATGAGTTAATGTTTGTTATCATTACTACGTAGTTATTTATGTCTCTATTAATTTTTTTCATTTGAAATTCTAGTAAAAATTCTTACCATGCAAGCACCAACTTTGCCAGTGAACCGGCATTAGTAAAACATATTGTTTCGAGGCTTAATGTTACTCATGTTCGACATTAGTGGAAATTTGCTAGACATTAATGATGGTTACAACACAATGCCGAGTTCATCAAGCTATAATTCTAACCAAAGCTGTAAAGATCATGTATTGCAAATTGATGCTCATTCAATACTTTTAAGAGAACACATGTAAAATCTTATTCAACAAGAAGCTAATGCACTATAGCAGATGATTTCTAATAATGACTTTGTGCGAGCTCGTAAAACTACAAAAGAAGGGGACAAGGAAATTACATTTGATGAACTAACTGATGAAGACATTATCACTCCAAAAAAAATGATATTCCTGATGAGCTCGTAGAGCATGTGTTACTTTGGGAAGAAGCAATTACATTTCACCTTGAATGGTTAGTCTATAATTAATAATGTAGAGTTTAGGATATGCACATCAAATAAAAATAAGATGACCATCTTGTGCTCTCAACATGATCATCCGTGAAGGCCTCATATGTGGCGTCTAATATTAACTCGATAAAATGATTGGGAGGGGCTTGGAGGATCTCAACTTTAACTGGTCCACATACATGTAGTTATCTTGTGATGAATGCAAGCCATATATAGTGCAACACAAACTTCTTACTCAATTCATACTAAATGTTATTAGACAACAAATTGATTTAAAACCAAGGGAGATTATCAGTCGAATTGAATCAAACTTTGATTTTAAGATTTCCTATATGAAAGCTTGGGATGCAAGGTCATAAAAGATATTTTTGGGAGCTACGAGGATTCATATCGTACATTGAATCACTTGATGTGTACAATATGTTCTGTTATGCCAGTAACAATGTATATAATTTATTCAAATGAGTCCAATCATTTTAAGCGTATATTTTTGTCCTTCAAACCTTCTATCATGGGTTGAGAATATTGTCATTTTGACTTGAGCATGTAATGAACATTTTTATTGGGTAAATATAGAGGGACATTACTTTTAGTAGTTGAAATTGATGTGAACAATGGTTTATTTTCATTAGCATTTGTAGTTGTTGAATCAGAGTGCCACAAATCTTGGTTTTGGTTTCTACGAACACTCAATGAGTTTATTCCACTGGTTTCGACAAAAAAAAGACATGCACATTATCTATGATCATCATGTTGGACTGGTAAGGGGGTGTCCAAAAATATTTCCTTGGGCTGCACATCATCATTGTCTAAGACACCTTCGGAAAACTTCAAAAAAGAAGTACGTAGAATGGAAAATTTAGATGTTTATTTTCTTTGTCAAAAAATGTATGTTGCAGCGAATACTGATAGTCTCCATTTATTCAATTGAAATATGGAAGATATCAAAAATGTAAAAGTTGAGGCATATGATTGGTAGTTGCAAGAGACATTAATAAGTGGTCATTGACTCGTGATCTTGGCTACAGATAATGGACAATAATCACAAATACATTTGAATGCTTCAATGGGATGATGAATCGAGCCCGCGGTCTACAAATCCAAGCAATGGTTTTCTCCATCTATTATAATATTCTGGCTCTTTTTTTTGAAACACATTGAAGCAGCCACACTTCTTGAAAGTCAAAATATTTCTTATTTCTTTCCCGGAGTAACGACAACTTTGCAAGAACTTGAAAAAGAGGGCCGGAAGTTTCATGAACCAACACGCATGAGATTCAGGGGTTCAATATGTCATGTAGAACATTTTGAGTTGAAATATTGGGGTTGGAAGACTGTCATGTGCACATGCCATTTCTGCTTTAGGACAAAGGTGACTTAATCACATTGGATATGTCTCAACTTTCTACATTGCGCTCAATTATAAGAAAACATATGAGGCTGATTATAATGTTATACCTGAGCGAGATATTGAGACCAATACATCCTTACGGATTATGATCACGATTTTCAACAACCTATTTTTCATACAAGGGCCAGTCGCCCTCGAACAAGATGTTATAGAATTACTATGGATGAGCTTATTGTTATTAACAATAGATCTTGTGGTATTTGCAAAGTTATTTTTCATAACAAAGCTACTTGTCCACAAAATCTTCGCTTATGAAGATAAAATGTTATGGACAATATTAGTTTCTTACCCTACTATTTGCATTACCAAGATCTGTATCATAGTACTTTGTTTTGTCATTATGCTTATTATGTCTTTTTTCTTAACTTCTTCTTATATTAATGTTTGCTTAAGCTTGGTTACAATACTTGAATGAAGACATATTAATTATGCTATAGGTAATAATGGATGATGAAGGAAATAGACCCCCGTGATGACATCACAGAAGACGTGCTGGAGCAGATGCTAAGACTACTACCCTGGCATTTCTAAAAGTTCAACCAAGTATTTCCCATCTACGTGGATTGCACATGGTTGCACACCTTGCCACGGTTAGTTCGCTTTGATTTTAAAAATTAATTTGACATGTCATTCACATATTTACCCAATTTCTTAGTTTGATGTTTTTGTAGGAAAACATTTTAGAAGCCGCCTCTCATCTAGTCATGGTTAAAGAGTGGCCAATAAATTGTCCTAGGTTCATGGAAGGACTATGTATGGTTGGTACGGAGTGTGGCAGCCAACTACAATATATAAAGCTGGACCATCATCTTTTAGCCCCACTTGTAGAGCGCTCGTTGCCACAAACAATTAATTTCCACTTTCCAGTTGGTGAAATATGTATCACGCTGTAAGACGTGAGTATGATTTTGGGGCTTCTGAGTGGATGGTCATGTTGTTGTGGGCTGAGTTGTGGTTAGGTTAGGTAAAAGGGGGCCCTCATGGTCATACTTCTGTGATGATTTTCTAGGAGGACATTCACACCATAATATTATGCATCACAATCCTATGAATTCAGACAACATGTCCACATTTAAAGTGGGACAAGCTGATGCTTGCACTTGCATGCCATTGAGATGGTTGAGATGGTTATTCTCCTGTGACTTGGATTTGATAGAGTAAGAATTTCATGGGCATGTTTGAGCATACATCTTATTCATGCTTGGTTGTTCTCTATTGCTACATCAGTGTCAGTTACACAACATGAATGTCAGCAGTCATATGGTGAAGTTGAACCAGCCCATCAATTGTGTGATCGTTTATTACGTCATCTAGTTCACTATACTCTGGGATCAAATGCTTTGCCTAAGTGAAAACGTCATAAACATTTGTTTGATTTGAGATTATTGAAAATGAGTAAAATGGGGTATTGTTCTCTAGATGTTCTATTTCGCCGTTGCAATGAAATCATTAGTTAGTAGCAACAGCAAATTTTCGTTTATATGTTTCTCTAGATGCTTTATTATTAAACTTTTTTGTCAAGGTCATATCTGCAAATATATCTCGAGTAAGGTATGAGCCAATATTATAGTGTCTCTATTTATGACCAAAAATAATTGTTAAGGTGTTTAATGTCATAATTGTTTTGAATAATATTCTTCTTGCTGTTTAATATCGTAATTGTTTTAAGATTCATCTCACAATATTCGACCTGCTGTAGAAAAGCATATTAATGTGTGGATGATTTCGGTTTTATTTTTTTTATAATATTGGTTTCTTCTCGAGTTTAAAATGTGATTTTTATGAAGAATCCTTTATAATTTTTCTTCCTGTTTTTATTAACTTCTGAGCTACTCATCTTGCTTGCTCTCCCCAGGATTATTTTAGAAAAAAGTTGGGATTTGTCTATGAAAATACGGTGAGGCCATTAATATTAATGATATGGGCTACATCTTAATTACTGAAGAAGTCGAAACTCCATGTCATATTTTAAACTTACCATTTTATTTTTTTGCACTCGTATTCCTTTCGGGATCTCATCGAGAATCAAATAGAAATGAGAAAAAGCTGAAAGCCACATAGAATTTTATTATATTGTTATTTTATAGAAAGAATATCAACTTTTTACTATAATTTTAAAATTATCTCAGAAATGCAAGCAAGCTTTTTTTTCTATTAAGTGGCTTGTATTTTTTTTTTCTTGTGTTTTCTGTAACTGTATACATGATCTAATTTATATTTATTCTCTCATTTTAACAGAACGATAGGAGGATGAGTTCAAGTAATTCAACATCACAAGGAATTAGCAATCAAAAAGTTTACTATTATTGCAAATTGTTGTGTGTTTGGTGTATAAATCTTACAAAGAGAGAAGCCATGAAAGGAAATTTTACAATTGCCAAAAAATTCGTTCGGAAGTCGATTGTAAATATTTCATATGGATGGAACAAGTGACTAACCAAATAGTTGACAAGAACAATGCAGACGTAATAAT